ACTCACTCACACACCCCTCACCACTCCACGCCTGGCTTGCCCTTGGGAGGCATGAGATCAGAGCCAGTAGCATGAGCTGAGTGCAACCTGCCAGGCTGAGTGAGTAGAATAAGCTCAGTGGGCCTGAGTAAAATTCGGGCAATGGTGCTACTGGCCATAGAGGTTTCCAGCTGGCAAAACAACACCCCTAAGGATCCTGTGACAGGACTGGCTTTAACAAGCATGACTCTTCTATCTTTGGAGAGGAAATAAAAAAAAAGATGGATAGGTATGTAGATTTGTTGGTGAGAAGCTGAAAGAGCTGCCATCTGATGACTCCTGTTTTAACTGTTGGATGGAAAGTAGTCATCTGCTAAGAGGCTAAGAGTAAAGATTATTTTATTATTGTTGTTAGGGAGTACAAGAGAGAAAGCCATAAAGAGGACAGAAATTTGAAGTGAGTGGAAATATTTCTTGTAGAAAATGGAAAGAAAGCAAACTAAAAATACAAAGAAGGAAAGTCTAGTAATGTTGAGAGCCCAGTTGAATTTAATAGACATGATTTTACAAGAGCACTACTCTGCTATGTAATTTTTCTCTTGCAATGTTCAGTACCTCCAGTTTTAGAGTGCAGTTGTTTGCAGATCTAAGAGATGCTTAGCAGGCAAGTGGATAAGTATGAGTTTGGAGCACAGCAGAAAGATAAAAATAATGGGTAGAAAGATTCAGAATGCATTACTGGCCAATGAAACCATGGCTATAATTACAGCTATGCAGGGAAGTCTGACAAGATGACCAAGATAGGACTCTAGGCAAGATCAACATTTAGAAAATGGACAACAGAAATGGCACTCATAAAGGAAATCAGAAGGTTGGGGAAAGCAGACAGAAAGAAAACCAGAGTATATGACTTTAGCAAGGGCAGTTTCATGTAATAATGTGGCTGGAAGAACAATTGGACTGGAGGGCAAAAGAGAAGGCAATAACTGAAAGGAAACAATAACAACAAAAACTGTGTTTCTGTTTTCTATTTTCTATTTGTGTGTTTTTTTTTCTTTTTCTTTTTTCTGTAAGATAGGACACACTTGAGAGAGCAGAAAGGGAGAGGATAGAGATTTAAGGAAAAAAATGACAAATAAATAAATTCCAAACTATATTGATTGAAAAATGTTATCCTTTACTGTAACTTACCATGTTAAAAATTGTGACGTCCAATACACTACCCTCCAGAAAATTGGCATGATTCCATCAGGAATGTAACTCCATGGCTTGAAACAAGGATGCTGGCTGTTGAATAAAAGTTAAAGCCAATTAATCATAAATAATTATTTAAATGAATTATACAGTTAATTTGCATGTGGCCAAGTTAATTTACATTCAGATTTTAAATTATTGACTCTAATAATCAATAACTCATAAAATTTCACAGAAATTTTAAAATTCAATGTTGACTGCCAAAAGAAAAAAACACACAAAAGCAACAAAATAGTTTTTTCTGAAAATGTCATTTAAGTTTTCAACTTTCAGTGTATTTTTAGTCATTGGGTAAAAAGAAAACTTAAGGTTCAACTAATAGACTAAAAGTGCAACAATCATTAAAAGCAAATGTATTATGAAATAAAATTTCTAATGATTACCTTTAAAATACACAACCCATTCATAGGTTGGGTTTTTTTTTTTTTCTCCAGGTTATAGGGATTGGGAGGGGAAAACATTAGGTGATTAATTCCTGAAAATTGGAATGCTAATTAAATCACTCACTATAACATAGCTTCTATGGAGATGCATGCTAGCATCTATACATAATTCTGTTTAAATTTCTGAAGACATGAGTCTCTGATCATAAATTCTGCCATGTAGCCATATTCCTAAGCTAGAAGGATATCCCAAGAACTTGCAACAATCTGTAGCTGCTGCTGATCTTTATCCAGTTTTTTTTTTTAATAGTGCTTCAAATGGAAGTAACACCTGCATTTTAAATTTACCTTTTCTCAAGTTAGATTTTTTAAAAATATGCATAAAGAAGCATGCAAATACTACTGAAAGCATTCATAAAGTCTATAGTCAACATATATAAGCTTTTTACTTAAAAATTCGATATTTGAATTCAATATAATCTTTGGACAATTTGAACTTTATTCATTTTTTTATGTAAATCTATAATGCTTTTGAAGGATGTGCAATATGAAAGGAATACCACAAGTACAGAAATACTTGTACTTTATTATAACCTTGTAAATTAGGCAAAAGTGAAAATACATCCCACGTTTTTAAATCTGAGATAGGCTGAGAGGAAAACCAGGTTTTAGAAATTACATACTTGGTAAAGAAGAACCAGGACTGAAAAGTCAGGACTTCTTCAAGTTTCTTACTACCATCTACTGAAGGGCTTTGTGGACCAATAAATATTTAAAAAATTAGATTTAATTAGAATATGATGTAATGAAAAGTCTACTAGGAAAGAATAGAGGTGGAGGGAATTAATAGAGAATGAGGATAACTTACATCAATATAAAATCTGGATGGTAAAAACTTTCATTTTTAAACAATGTGTCCCCTACAATATTTATATATTTTTTAAAAAAGGAAATACCTTGGAACAGGGTTGGCAGTTGCGTACAATCCTGTAATGTTGCTATTCTCAGGAGGGCTTGAATTTGCAGCAGCATGCTTGCACCGGTTATATATTGTCTAAAGCAATGAACGTATGGTTTAAAAATGAGAATCAAAACGTTACACCAAGTATTTAAAGGACATCAGAGTTTATAAATCTATCTATCTAAACTTACCTTCCTGGCTATGCTTTTCTTTTTCTTTTCTTTTGAGACAGAGTCTTGCTCTGTCACCCAGGCTGGAGTGCAGTGGTGCGATCTCAGCTCACTGCAAGCTCTGCCTCCCGGGTTCACGCCATTCTCCTGCCTCAGCCTCCTGAGTAGCTGGGACTACAGGCATCTGCCACTACGTCTGGCTAATTTTTTTGTATTTTTAGTAGAGACAGGGTTTCACCATGTTAGCCAGGATGGTCTCGATCTCCCAACCTCGTGATCCGCCCGCCTCAGCCTCTCAAAGTGCTGGGATTACAGGCGTGAGCCATGGTTCCCAGCCCTTGGCTATGCTTTTTAATGATCAAATGACCATATAATCTTTTAATTCAAAATATAAGTACAAACTGTCATAATTTAGCTGTCTTAAGAATAAACATTATTTCCAACATGCTGTATGATTAAAATTTGTCTTTTAAATTGTGAAAATAAAGTTCACTCCTTACCGTACTAACATCCAGAGGCAGTATGAAGACAATAAGAAAGCAGAGATACCAAGCAAGCAGTGTTCCAATAATTACAAGTCTATGCTGTTTCTTAAAGTCTCCATATCGATGAAGTAGAAATAATGCCAGAAAAAAGACAAAAACAATCTCAAGTCCCAAAGCTGCACCACTCATTATTGGATATTTCACTCTCACTAACCAAAGTTATTCATGTACAGGTCTGGACCATATCTATAAAGTGAAAAGAAGGTTAAAATGCATCATTAACATGGGAAAGGACATTTGGAAATTTCATATGAATATTTATTAGTACATTAATACATTAATAAACTCTTTGGAGAAATGTCATGCTTCACATTGGACTATGAATAAGATTAAAAGGGTAATTCCTATCCTCAAGTACTTATATTTTATTTTTTAAAGCACACTTAAAAAATTTCACATACCTTGTATTTTCAAAAACTTAACGAAAATTATACTAGTTCTTACAATATTACAAGTTAAGAAATTCTTATTTTAGACGTCAACAGTTTTAATATAGTGTCATTTAGAGTTTCTTAATAAGTCCTAACAGAATAGTTTATGCAAATAAGCTGTTGACTAAATCCTAAGATATTAGATACTTGGTAAAATACATTTTTCTAAGATTATTTATCCTCTACAATTTAAGATTTTCTAAAAGAGAGGAAAGAGAAAAATGGAAAGAGATCATTTAAAAGTAACCTTTTGTTTTTTGAAACAGTATTTTTCTTTTGTGTTAATTTTGCCTAACAACTCAACTTTCATGAAATTCTTACTGCTTCACAAAATGTATTTATCACTTCCCATTTATCTATATAAATCTTTAAACTTACTTTAATAAATTCTCATTTTTAATTTTTCTACTATTTTATATGCAGAAAATTTATCAGACTATTGAATAAAGCCATACATGTGAAAACATTCTTAATTTTATGATACAGTCATCAGCGAATAGTTTATCTGATATCTCTCTACTCAAAAAAGAGTATAGAGATTTAAAATCTCTATTTTAAAATTTAAAAATTTGATCTCTCTATACTTAAAAAAATTTACTAATCAAAGGCAATATGAACTTTTCACCTTTGTAAAATCAATGTTAGACTTTTGTTTACCTACATACTACAATATTCCAAGGAATTGATTAATATCCTAACATAGAGAATCAAGATTGTGATGCAACCCAACAAAATACAATAAGGGGCAGTGGCTCATACCTGTAATCCCAGCACTTTGGGAGGCCAAGGCAGGTGGATCACCTGAGGTCAGGAGTTCGAGACCAGCCTGGGCCAATATGGTGAAACCTTGTCTTTACTAAAAATACAAAAATTAGCCAGGCATGGTAACGGGTGCCTGTAATCCCAGCTACTCGGGAGGCTGAGGCAGGAGAATCGCTTGAACCTGGAAGGCGGAGGTTGCAGTGAGCCGATATCCTGCCATTGCACTCAAGCCTGCACAATAAGAGCAAAACTCTGTCTCAAAAATAAATAAAGAAATAAATAACAAAACAAGGGAGAACCAATAAAATACTTCAAATCAACAAACATCTTTAACTATTTAGAATAATAGAAAAGAAAGTTTCAGTACTTTAAAGCGTTAAATTTAAATTTATATACAAAATACTCCTACATGAAATATCACAAAAATCACATTTAACAATTTTCTTCACTATTTCTTTATATTGGTAAACAGATTCCATTTCAACTATCAATATTTTCATCTTTCTTTTTTTGAAATTTAGAAACAAATTTTATTTAAGATCTGAAATACAATTTCTAAAATATCAACCTTTCCAGAAAACCGTGGCTACACAATAATGCATTGCCTCTATCATGTTAGAACGTGCATTAGTCTCAAACACAAAAACCATGAAACAAATCACCATCCTTCAACAATTTGAGCAAAGATAGAATGCTTAAGAACAACATACATGGACTTGCAGAGGATGGGCTGTTTTACTTCAAGCACCATAAAAAAAAAGAGCACAAATGCATGGGTTTTCAGGTATATACATTAAGTTGAACCTTTGGCACTAGGAATCAGGGCGTTTTGTCACATAGCATTAATACATATTAGAAAATTGTGTAGTGTCAAAGGGATAGGAACCACCAGCATTCAAGCAATGTTGTCAACTAGGCAATAAAATGTTCTACTGTTTCTTCTTTGTTCTAATTACTGCATACACTGGTAGCAACTTTGAAATGAGAAAAGGAGCTTATGCTCCTTTTATTTTCTGTTTAAAACAGAACAGAAAAAAAACTGAAACATAAGCGCTGTTATACATTAACGATTTTAAAGAACATCAATTTTACAAGAAAAAGACTAAGAACAAAAAGTGTTTACAGATACAGGACAAAAATGGTGAGCTGTCTATAGACGCTCACAGGGCTTTGAGGTGGTACTCAGCAGAAGCCACTTTGTAATCACTGGCAGTAAAGAGAGATGCAGAATTCTTTGCCAGATATTTTAGGAAATCATGCAAATAGCCCAACAATAATGCAAGGCTTTTCTCATCAAGGGGCGTATAGGCCAACATTGCTCCAATTCTTACAAATAATCTCAGTAGGTGTGGGGCTCCATAAACCTGAGACATTGGAGCATCAGGGTGAGCCAAGAGGATTTCAGGATACTGGGACCTCTCAAATTTGTAGAGCAGCTGAGTGCCCAACATCACATTGAAATATTCTTTTATTCCTGGGTTGGGCACGGTGGCTCACGCCTGTAATCCCAGCACTTTGGGAGGCCGAGGAGGGTGGATCATGAGGTCAGGAGATTGAGACCATTCTGGCTAACACGTGAAACCCCGTCACTACTAAAAATACAAAAAAATTAGCTGGGCGTGGTGGTGGGCGCCTGTAGTCCCAGCTACTCAGGAGGCTGAGGCAGAAGAATGGCATGAACCTGGTAGGCGGAGCTTGCAGTGAGCCGAGATCGCACCACTGCACTCTGGCCTGGGCAACAGAGCAAGACACCGTAAAAAAAAAAAAAAAAAAAAAGAAAAAAGAAAAAAAGAAATAGTCTTTTATTCCTGCCACAACTTCATTAACTGCATATTCCTTATTATCAACATTTGCCTGTGACTTCTTGCAATTTGCATACTCCTCCAGAATTGCATCTACATTTTTCTTAGCAGGGAGTTGAAACAGCTGCTTCTGTCTGGTTACTAAGTCCCAGTCCTCAATAAGCCATAGTTTTAATTCTTCAGGAATCTTCACTTTAACCTCCATTCTATTCTTAAACGCCTCCTCACTTTCAACAGTCTGCCCGGGCCCTTTTCTTCCGAGGGGGCTGAGGTGCTTCGCTGGTACTGCCACCATCTCTGTTTCCAGGAGTCTTCTGTTTGTTCTTTCTGGTCTTCCTCATGGATCCTGAAGGGAGTTCTCTACAGAGCGACCCCCTCATCTTCCTGGGAGAGCTGGTTCAAGGTTTTTCTGCTGTGGACCAGCGGTCTTCTTTCCCGAGGAGACCCCTCTCATCTTACTTCTCTGCATGTTGCTTCGAGTTTGTTTTCTGAAGTTCTCTTCTTCTGCAGATTGCTGTCCACGAGGTTAAGAATCCTGCTTTCTGGAATTCATTCAACCTTGTTTTTATTCCAACCAAAAATCTTCCTTCTTTCCCTTCCAAGAACTCCTAGTGATTTCCCAGATGAAATCTTATAGATCTTCTGGGAAGGTCTAGAAGGGTGAAGTGGGAGATACGACCCAAGATTCTGTAATCAGGGAAGGTTCTGCAATCAGGATCAGATCTTTTGATCCTCACTATACAGCAAACTTAGCTTTTCTGATGATGACCTGACACAAGAATTCAGATCTTCCCAGCAGCCGACGTGTGATCACTGCCATTCCTCCAACTGCCATGGTCTCATTTTTCTTAAATATCTAAAATTGAACTTCTTTCATCACTCTACTCTCTTATCTTGCTATATTTTCCTTCAGTGCATTTATCCATCTGATATAATGCACATTCTTTATATTTATTGTCTCTCCAAACCTTTCCCCTTACCCCAGATACTCTATGAGAGCAGAGACTTGACTACTTTATTCCATACTATATTCCAGTTACCTGATGTAGTATCTGGCATATAGTAATATCAAGAAATATTTGTTGAAAGAATAAAAAATACTGTGTAGTTTAGTACATACATTATTTTTCTATTACTGCCTACTTCAAAGGCAATGTAAAACTCTTGTAATGGTACACTGATTTAACAAATACTTATTACAACTCAAAAGGCTTAAAACACTGAACATTACCAAAAACTACTCAAATTTTCAAATTTCATATTCTGTGAAAAACTCACACCACAACAATGTCAAATCTTATTTTTTAAAAAATAGAAAAGGTTTTGCCTTGTTGCCCAGGTTGGTCTTGAACTCCTGAGCTCAAGTGATCCGCCTGTCTCAGCTCCCAAAGTGCTGCAATTACAGGCATACGCCACAGCACCCAGCCAAATCTTATTTTTAAGCTAAGCATAGATTAAGTAGTTGGCTGAAAGCTCAACACAGAATGTGCTGATGACAAAACCATCTTTGAGATCTAGGGTTTTTTTTTCTTTAAAAAAACCCATTCGATGTGAGTTTAAATATAACATAATTAACTGAAAATCCTTTTATGACTTGAACTACACCTGAAATTGTCCAGTGCAAGGAACATGGCAATGATAGGAAAAAAAAGACTACATATTAGAGATTACCAAAGAAAGGCTAAATAAAGTATGGCAAAGCCAAATGAGGACATCTCATTGTAGTATAAGAAATGATGTTTGTCAGGTCCCAGAGCAAGATGGCCGAATAGGAACAGCTCCAGCCTCCAGCTCCCAGCGCGACCGACACAGAAGACGGGTGATTTCTGCATTTTCAACTGAGGTACCAAGTTCATCTCACTGGGGAGTGCCGGACAATCGGTGCTGGTCAGCTGATGCAGCCCAACCAGCAAGAGCTGAAGCAGGGCGAGGCATCGCCCCACCAGAGAAGCACAAGGGGGAAGGGAATCCCTTTTCCTAGCCAAGGGAAACTGAGACAAACAACACCAGAAAATCAGGTAACTCCCACCCTAATACAGCGCCTTACCAAGGGTCTTAGCAAACGGCAAACCAGGAGATTATATCCCACACCTGGCCTGGAGGTTCGCACGCCCACAGAGCCTCCCTCATTGCTAGCACAGCAGTCTGAGATCTAACTGCAAGGTGGCAGCGAGGCTGGGTGAGGGGCGCCCGTCATTGCTGAGGCTTAAATAGGTAAACAAAGCCACAGGGAAGCTCGGACTGGGTGGAGCCCACTGCAGCTCAAGGAGGCCTGCCTGCCTCTGTAGACTCCACCTCTGGGGACAGGACATAGCTAAACAAAAAGCAGCAGAAACCTCTGCAGATGTAAATGACCTTGTCTGACAGCTTTGAAGAGAGCAGTGGGTCTCCCAGCATGGAGGTTGAGTTGTGAGAATGGACAGACTGCATACTCAAGTGGGTCCCAGACCCTTGAGTAACCTAACTGGGAGACATCCCCCACTAGGTGCAGACCGACACCTCACACCTCACAGGGCTGGGCGCACCTCTGAGATGAAGTTTCCAGAACAAGAATCAGACAGCAACACTCGCTGTTCAGCAATATTCTATCTTCTGCAGCCTCCACTGCTGATACCCAGGCAAACAGGGTCTGGAGTGGACCTCAAGCAAACTCCAACAGACCTGAAGCTGAGGGTCGTGACTGTTAGAAGGAAAACTAACAAACAGAAAGGACACCCACACCAAAACCCCATCAGTA